TCGGTATCACAAGTGCATGGGCATCTACTACAAAGTACAATACCAATACAACATCTGTGTGAAATAAAAAATAGATAGGATAACATAAATGAATATGATGGAGACTCTGTGTGTTGCAGTTCATATCATGGGATGCAGCTCACCGTAAAATGTCCCCTCAAAAGTTGCGTCCTTGCACCCAAATGACAATCAAAAATATACTTGCACAAAAAGTGCAGAAGAGTAGCATGAATACGAAAATCAACGCGTACCTAGTAAGTATCTAGCCTAACCCCAGAGAAGTAGTGACGAGGGATCGACATTGACACTTACTAGTGGTCCAATAAATTAATATATTAAATTATTTATGTATATGAAACATAACAACAATAATGAGCTAAGAACTGTAATTAACAAAAATTCTCCAACATTGTGAAAATATAAATTTCTCAAATCTCATATGCTATCTCGACAGATAAGAAACCTCAAATAAATGACAGGTCTCAATCAAAGGAAATTCTCATGAATATTCAGACTCCTAGCGATATTGCCCACGAGTCATGTCGGGGTCGTACGTCCCAATCCAGAATAATGTATACACTACCGAGGGTCGACCAGCGCGAACCATAGATGCATCTCAATATGTTGCCGAGGCGTTCGGCCCGATCCACACGAAGAGAAGGAACTTATCGAATTTACAACGATCGACTAGTCGTTTTGAGGTTTAGCATTTTGTTCAGTGGTTCGAGGTCTTGAGTGGCTTCAAAATTGTGTATTATGACTTGCATGTATGGCCGATTTCGGTTTTCAGGAGAGTCGGGATTGATTTAGAAGAATGATTCTTGTTATTGAAGTTTAAGTGGTAAGAGTTGACCGGAGTTTGACTTTTTTGTACACGACCCCGAAATGGTATTTTGATGATTTCAATAGTTTCGTATGGTAATTGGACTTAAGCATATGACCGGATTTGAATTTGGAGGTCCGTAGGTTGATTTGATGCTTTTTGGCAAAAGTTGGAAAATTGAAGGTTTGGAAGGTTGAGAGGTTTGATCGGGAGTTGATTTTGTCGATATCGAGTACAGATTGTAATTCCGCGAGCTGATATAGCTCCGTTGTTTAATTTGGGACTTTCATGCAAATTTATATTCTGGATCCGCCTCTTCTTAATAGTGCATCCATCCTCTCAAAATCTTGGATACGCCTATGATTGAGTGAACATTTGAGTAATGGACTAAAAACATCTCACGTGAGAACAATCTGAATATAAATCTTACATAAGAAATGTACAATCATGAGGAAAGAAAATGCCTTTCTGTTGAATTTTCGAATTATGCCGTTAAGAGTTGGTTATGGAGTTTAGTGTAGCTGTGGGTTTAGGATTTGAGGATGAGGAAGATACAAATATTTTAAATCAGTAGACTTCTATTTGAGGAAGTAAAAGGATGAGAAAGGAAAGGAAAATTGAGGTTTATAGCCCATTTCTTTATATTTATTCATAAATTTGGTAACATTAATTTATCTATTGGCGTGGTCCTTTTGGTTATTTCTTTTTTTATATTTTTAAAGCTTTGAAGAAATCTAATTAAACCTCTAAACTTTTGAATAGGCCTATTATTAGCTTCTCAAGAGGCGCACACAATCATTTTCTGTTAAAAATGTCATGAACAAAATAGAAGCAAAAACAAAGCAGTCTAAATTGCTGTTTTGGTCTGTAACAAGCTAGATATATCAAGTAAAGCTAGTCTTTTTCCATCTTCGACATATATTAATTTCGTCTGGCCTCCATACTCAATAGCTATATAATGCAGGAGATGATTTACTCACCCCGCCAAACCAATATCTTTATTCACTACTGTTTGATCAGCGGCTCGACTGGCAGGCAATCACTACAATATGCAGTGGCTAAGGTTTATTAATAGTATTCTAATTGTAAGTATCCAATAGTACTCTCTTGTCCATAGAAAAAGAATTTTAATGCTAGCGCAGAGTAGTAATAAGGGCTTTCACTCTTCAACGCTGATCGATAGTAATATTTTTCATTGTTTTGTGTCAAATGTCAATTACCGATGTCAAATTTTAGTTCGTACTTATTATGTATAACCCACTGGTTCATCTTATGCCTAACTTTCTTTGTTTTTTTTCGTTTTTCCTCTTTGCTTGTTAAAAACAGATTTTTGCATTATTTGTTGACCATGTCACCTCAAAACCAGATCTGGTGAACCGTTTGACCGGTCGAGATCCGGCTTCCCTAGTGTTGGAGATATGGGTAGCCGGTGCTTTTGTATTTTTTATTTTTAAGATTGTACAAAAGTGTATTAGGCGCATCTCACCTAATAGACTTCAAACAACTACAGAAAGATTAATCGAACTGTTTCCTTATTTAGAACACTCCGTCTTAGACGGTATAACCTTTAGTGATACTACGTGTCAAATTTGTCAGTCCGAATTTGAACAAACTGAGCATGTACGAGTGCTCCCGTGCCATCACGTGTTTCATCACAAATGTGTAACAGCTTGGATGGCTCGAGAGCTTATTTGTCCAATTTGTCGCCGCGATTACAGTCGTATTGTAGCTCAGTAGTTTAAATTTTGACAAATTTGTCTTGTAATAGTTATTAGATAATTCTTTACCTTATGACAATAAAAGCTGTTGTACTTGTACAGTATAACGAATATTATAGTAAAATAGCAGTCCAGCAGTAGCTATATTTTTAACCTTATCCATACTGACTCGCCAACTTACGGTAATACTAATATAATTCAATGTAGCAACACAGTTTGAACTTATTGAAATAGTGACTATCTTTGACTTTCTTTTTATAAACTTTTTGGTAAAAGAAGTTATGAGGTTCAATCTTGTCACTGGGTGGCAGAAAAAGTAGGCATAATATAAGCACGTGAGGATGGAGAGACGACTAAGGCAATGAGAATTAGCCATCCAGTTAGGCTTCGTTTTTCACACAATCTTTATATATACACAATCTCTCTGTAGTGAATAACATGGAAGATTAGATTGTATTTAACGACCTAAATCGAGAAATTACAGTAGGAAGACTAAGCAATGAAACGGTATCAAAGAAAGGTGATAAGAGGATTCAGATTCTTCACAACAATTCGCATAACTCTCTCTACTCATGCATACTACAGAAAACTACGTCGTTATATTATATAGCAACTATGTTTCCTTTAGATTGTCAGTAGCTTATCAACACCTTTTAGGGTAAGTTACATATTTGACCAGTCCACCAAAATAATTATATTCACGAACCAAATAGTTTTCCCCCACCTTTTATCAGCCTGGATCCCAGAAATAGTCAAAATAACATTTTTAGTGGGCCCAATTACTTCAACGTGGTCTGGCCCGTTTAGCCTATTAACAACACTCTCTTTGTTTTGGGTTTCCGACTCCAAAACGCCAGAGCATGGACAGAAACATAATCAAGACTAATGCTGACACTCTACGGCAAATGAATCCAACTGTTGATCAATTGCGCCTTCGAAATTAAATTTCATCATATAAATGTCTGACGGATGTAAGAAACTCTTGCAATAAGCTACAAAGAAGTGGTCTCCCATGTGCGCAGAGGAAGAGTGAGGTAGGTTTTCAGTGGGTAAACCAAGGTTTTCACTAAGGATGTTCAAATTAAATTATTTTTTTGATGAATGGGTGCACCAAAATTTTAAAATTAAATTACATATATTTAGGTAAACTATAAAATATTTCTCCATTAAATATTCAAAATAAATTATAAGATATCTTATTTAGAAGAATAATCGCACTACACAAATCATTACTCGAACACAAGAAAATAAATGAAAAAAGAGCAACCACTGATGTCCCAATAGTCCCAGCTTACAGTACTTGACTTCATCTACTCGTTTATATTGCCCGTGAGTAGGCAAAGACAGATTTTCAAGCTCCCTTTTGTGTTGGATTTTTAATACCCCTCTATTATTAGAAATTATTTAAAATTAACCCATGTTATGCTATTGGCTCAGAAAATTGAAGTCCCTACCATATTGGTATTGAAGCAAATATACCCCTAACTCGATCAGCGGAATGTGATATCTAAATTGAATCGAAGGAAGTACAATGTGAGTAGATGAGAGCAAACTTATAATATCTAATTCAACCTGTACACGAAATTTCACCTTCAAAGGTAAAAATTCACGAAGAAACACGCAATGCATGCCATCTAATTAAAGAATGAGAGAATAATCAATATGAATCCGCGACGAAAGAAAATGGAAGAAAACAATAGAGGAAATAGAACAAAAACAGTGAAAAATTCCTTTTTTCCAGTGAAGTTTGATCTTTCCGGCAAACACCTTGTTGTGGCTTACCATAAAGCCATTCCACGCACTTAATTTTCACGGAGAAGCACATACTTTTTATGTTAGCATTTCGTGTCTAATAGGCATAGTTTAAGCATAAATTAAGTGTTCAAATAGATCATATATTTAATTTATGTGTTTAGATTAAAAAAATAAACAATTTTAAAAGATCGTCTATGTATTTGACCTTTTGAGTTTGGAACAGGGAGGGTTCTGAAAAGAGAATGAGAGTGAGAAAGAATAAAAAGAGAGGAATAAACAGTTTAATACTATCTTACAAAATTACAAGTAAATACTATTAAAAAGGTTTCTATACTTGGCTGCAAATGTCGATAAAAAAACAACACTATAAAACTGTGGTTTCCAACCCAAAACACCGATAAAAAAGCCGGCCAACAATACTAATTCGGCCGGTTTTCGTAAAAAACAATTAATTATATTTTGTCAGTTAGCCGATTGCGTCGATCAATTTTTATACCGATTATTCTTTTTCTACACATTCAATTTGATCGATAACCCTTCAAAATCGACCGCATTCGGTTAATGTTTTAGCCGGGAAAGGGCGTATTTTTGTAGTAACGTCACCAAGCAATGTCAAGTGTTTGTGTTTTTCAAGGAAATGCTAAAAGCTGGTATCGGATCTGCGACATAAAATTGTAAATTCATCAAGAGTTGCTGAGACATTCTTTAGACATTGAAAATAAATATTGTCATAATAGTTGTATTACAAGACTTAGACTTGTGCTCTCTCACCAGGTCCCCCATAAAGAACAAATAGGAAAGGCTTGGTATCATCCCAAAGTGGTTCAAATAAAACCTTATACATATTGGGATTATCGGTATGCGTAGTCACATTATCTACTTCAAACGTTTTTCCTTCCTCGTTTAGAATTGTAAGTTTCGTACAATACGCATCATAAGCACTGTCTTTAATGGGGAAAAAGCTTGAGCCCATAGAAGGTTCAGGTACACCTGGTGGACTGTATACCACTCCTCCCCATTCAACGTTCGTAGCAAAACTTGTAAGGCCAGTAAAGATTCTTTGCGGCCAAAAACCAACTTGTTTATAGTCCTTTTCCATTAGAAGCCACCAGTTTCCGTTGGCTAGATCCTTAAATTTTTAAAAGAAAATGTCAGCTGTCAATATTATTGCGCATTTCAATTGATAACCCCTAAACTTGTACAAACTTGATAGAAATTCTAAATAAGAAAAAAATATAAAATATACCCGATCAATGTACATTTTTTCCTCCCAAATAGCCCCTCCACGTTGTGAAAGATAATCCTCGAATGACATATCAAGAGGTATCTCACTACTTACTTGTACAAAGCCAGGACACAATGTATTGAAACAATGAATTTTACCGGCCTAAAAAAAAAAAGAGAGAGATATATGATACATGAATTCTTGCAAATTGAAATAAATTATTAAACTAAAAGATACACTAGTTTCATGAACTCAAGACGAATCATCAAGGTACATAAGTTACCTGTAAGTGTATAAAAAGCCTAGTTTTGGAATCCCCATATAAAGTTGGGTCCACCTAAAAAAGAAATAGAGATATCATGATAATCGAGTATGCGTTTACTCATAAATTAAGTTTCTAATTTACATTTTAGAGGTAAAATATTAATTCAATCTTTGCAACATCTCATTATTCCATGAAACAATTTGATTATGGATGAAAAGGTATGTTAAACTTACTCTCCAACCAACTTGTAAGATATCTGAGTCTTTTTGAATTTTTAATCGACATGCACTATGTTGCTGGCCTTCAACACGAGGATTATAGAAATTAGTTGCCATTCCAGCTCCCGCAAACTTGTTATTTGGATTATTTAGAATTTGAGCTATTGCAAGCTGAATAGGAAAAAACAATATTAACTCACATAGAGTATCCAAATCAACTTATCTATATTCACGGACACCGTAAGTTTTTCTTTCTTTTCTCAACACAAGTGAAGCAGACGACAAAAGGCCAATTCCTAAATTCCAAACTTATTTAACTATATTTACATCAAGTAAGGCAGTTTCAAAAAGGCCAACGCAAAGAACTTGGCAGCACAAATTGATATTTCGACCCCCAAATTAGACTATAAGAATAAGAAAAACTGATTCCATTTCTTATTTCAAATTCAATTAAAAGAAACGTATAACTGTATAAGAAAAGCAATCAGCTGGAAATGACCGTTATTTTGATGTGTGGGGGAGGCTTTATGTGGTAAGCACATTCACCTTTCAGTTGATAAATCAAGAATTGAGTTACTATGAAGGGTAAGTAAGAAACTACTGTTAATCCTTATTGAGTTACTGGTTGTTTGTTTAGTTATTTGATCAACACAAAATAAATACTCCCTCCTTTCCGATTTATGTAAACTTTTCCGAAGCATGAGAGTCAAATTAATTAACTTTTTATCTGAATTCAAACATATTTTTTTTTACAATTTTAAAATAAAATTACATATTTAGAAATTACATAAAAAGTAATAGAAGTCACAATAATTAACATTCAAAATATTTAAAAAGAATTTATGGAAAACGTGGCCAAAGAAATTTTTTTTGACTCTCCAAATAGTAATAAGTTCACCTAAGGTGGAACACAGGGAGTACTATAAACTTTCCAATTCCTTGCACATAATATTATTTCCCCTTATAAAATGACCCTGTAGAAACACAAAATTGAAAATGAAAACATGATAAATTTTTTGCATACTTTTGTACCTTATATCCTTGTGAAGATATGTATCTTCCTTTTGCCTCACTATTGTTGTTGCTCTGCATTAGATGTACAGAAATATATGAGTTTTGCCACGATTAGCGAAACTTAAGCTTGTTTATATTTGTGCATGAATAACTTTTCTTATTTATAAATAAGTGAAACTTTTAGAATCTATATATAAGTAAAATATTGAATTCTCATGTTTAGGTATAAATTATTCAAGCAAAAGCAGTAAATTGGCATAGATTATCTCACGACAGCTGATTGAGAGCCGAATGTGACATTTTCTGGCGGTGGTATACGTCTTTGTCTAATAAGATCATCTTTAGTTATTCGCTTAATGGGAACAGTTCCAAAAGGGCAACCTCCATCTTTTGACCATATTGTCGATGACCTACTAGTTGTTGAGGCATCTGAATTTTGCTTCACTCTAGATAAAGTAGGTTTCATCTGTTCAACCAAATATTTAATTACATGTCAACAATATAATATTTTGTAAAAGAAAATTAAAAGTAAAATGGAAAGAGAGTAGAGATATGCCTTAGGATGATAATTATGGTCCTTCAACAACGGATGATCAAATGCATGTTGTTTATAGAAATCTATACAATCGTATATATCTTCATATTTCGTCTGTGAACAAAACAAATAATAAAATAAGTAATCTAAGTTTCAGTAATTGCACTACTTGCTATTCAATATGTACCTTTTAAATACAAAACAATCTCACAAAAACAACTGTCAGTAGACTACTCCTTTTTCTAAAAAACTTTAAGACATTTGACTTTGAAAAGTTAAGCCATTGTAATGCCTTTTGTCTGCAAATTTGCAAGATAGTATAGAAAAATATTAATATGTAAAGAGTTATATAATATAGAGGGTTCAATTTTCAAACACAAAAAAAATTTATAAAAAATATGGAAATAGAACATAAGGTCCTTTACCCAAAAACCATGTGACAGAGTAATATTGTTTTTCCCCCCTACAAAAGCGATATTAGCCAAAAAAGAAAAAAAAAACAATAATGTCCCAGAGACTTACGAATAAAATGATCTTTTTAAACCCAAAATAAATACCTTAGCTATTTTGACCGCTGGCTTGTTCAAAAGCTTTAGCTGTTTCTCTAACTCTGCATCCTCTAATTTGGATAGGTTTTTCTCTCCTTGTACCCCATTATAACTCAAAAGGAAATATAGCATCAACAAAGTTTGTTGAACAATTCTTTGATGCATCCTGAATTCATTCATTCTTTTTATAAGCATGAATGTCAGGTGTTTTCAAAAAATTAAACTAATTAACACAACATGAAAGAACTAAAAGATGAACTTGATTTGCTAGGTATATGAGACCTTTGTTACTACGAGAAAGACTTATATAGAGGCATAGAAGAGCATTATATTGGCTAATTATACAAGATATTAAATTACTGAAATATTTTGATTAACAGAATCTATAAAGATTTTATAAATGTTGACTGACCATCTCTGACTAAGAAAGAATGGGAAAAAAAGGAATTTCACACATCTACTTTGAATATTTAGTGTCTCATTGGACAAACCTTTTGTCATACAAATAAATTACTGGAGTATCATACAAAAAGCCAACGAATTGTTCAGAATGAAACCATAAGAGAGCATGGTCTTAGTCTCTTATGTTTACCTAAATGGTGTCTAAATTTTTGTCTATTTAACAATTTAATTTCCCGCAGACAAAAATTCTCCTAATTGAACTGCCTAAAGCAATTAGGCATAAATGTTTGTTGTGAACTTAGTTTGGTTTTAATACAAGGCTTTATTTTAGTAATTAAGAAATGTTATTATCAAAACGGGAAGAACAATTCAAAGATAATAAAACAAGCCTAAAGTTGGACATAGAACCCCCACCTTTTGGGACAAGCCTAAAGTACCTTAGGTCTCATTTATTTTTATTCAAATTCAATTAAGATTAAAATATCTGCATCTAAATATATATCTTGAAATAAAAATTTGTACTAAGATCTAAATACTAAATAATTAAGACAATTATATTTTCAACATCTGAATATATAAAACTTATCTTTATTTTAAAATCAATAATATAAAACTCAAATAAAACACTAATTAATCAATGTTATATCATAAAATCTTTTTAAAATATAATATTGTAATTGGTGGTGATGGCAAAAGGTGGCGATTGTGGGTGCCAACTAGGAATGGTGGCTAGTTGAGGTGTTGGTCGTAGTTATAGATACTGACTGGGTGGTGGTTAGTGTTGGTGTTGACTGAGGGTGACACGGCCCAAAATCCACTATAGGTCGTGTTGGTGTCCAACGTCGTCGTTAGGCAAGCCAACATTGAACTAACACATTAATTATTTATTTTATTATTTTTAAAATAATAAATTTTATTAAGTAAAAAAATTTACGCATTTAAAATCATAGGTACATACATAATTAGTAAGACATAAAAATAAAAAGTGATAATAATATGCAAATCCGTAAACATCAACTAGAATATCCCAGAATCCGGTGTCACAAGCGTATGAACGTCTTTTAAAGAGTGCAATAATAATACAACATTTGTCTAGAATATAAAATAGACATGATAAAGAAAAATAAATAAGATAGAGACTCTGTGGGCTGCAGTGCGTAGCATAGAAGGCAGCTCACCATAAAGTCCTCTCAGCAGTTACGTCTACGCGCCAAGATGGTCACCAAATGAACCTTTTAGATGTTGCACATTTCATGCAGACGTGTAGCATGAGTACGTAAATCAACGCGTACCCAGTAAGTATCTAGCCTAACCACGGAGAAGTAGTGACGAGGGATCGACATCGACACTTACTAGTGGTCCAATAAAACCATATAATAAATTACAACAAATGAGCACAATAGTAACAATGAGGTAAAAACTGTAACTTATATAATTCTCCAACATTTCTTTTGATGATTTAAATCTCTCAAATCTCATGTGTTGTCTCAGCAGATCAGAAATATTAAGTGCAATCTCAAACGGACAAGGAATACCATATAAGTGTCAGGTCTCAATCAAAGGGGAATCTTATGAATATTCGGACTCCTAGTGGTATCACGCACGATTATGCTGAGGTCGTACGCCCTGATCCAGAGTGGTGTGTACATTGTTGAGGGTCGATCGGCGCGAACCAGAGGTGCATCTCAATATACTGCCGAGGCATTCGGCTCGATCCACTGGAAAGGAAGAAATTTATCAAATTACGAGTCATGTACTTACAACATAGGTACATGAGCATCAAGTAAATATGACTTTTACCGCTTATCAAAATATATCGCCAAACAACTCAAGGTGATAAGCTTGGCCTAATATATTTTCGAATCAATTTCAATTATAAATTCAAGTAATTAAACTAGCAAATTGAGTTCAAATAATTCAAATATTACATGATAAAGTCCTAGGTCTGCCCGGATATAAATATACTTTTAACTACGTATGGACTCTCATCACCTTGTACATACGTAGTATCCACAACTAGTAGCACATAACAATTTAATACCTACGAGGTAGTTTTCCCCCTCACAAGGTTAGACATGAGACTTACCTCACTCCGAAGTTCCATAACCGGCTCCAACACTTCTCTAATACCTCAAAACCCATGCCCATCAATCTGAAACTAATCAAATAACATGCAAACCAGTAAGAATATACTCCAACACTCATAATTAATAAATTTATAACAATTCCCAACTCCGCTAAAAAAGTCAACAAAGTCAACCCCCAGGCCCACGTGCTCGAATTCCGTGAATTTTTGAAGATAAACATTACACATAATACCACGAACTCAAATATATAATTTTTTACCAATTCCATGTCTAATTTCGTGGTCAAAATAAAAAATACAAATTCTAGGTCGTCTACAAAACATCCCACATTTTCCACTTAAACTACTGAATTTACAAGCCTAAATTCATGTATATGACTCATAACGTGTAGAAATTACTTATCTCATGATTGATGATGAAAATAGCGCTCCAAAATCACCCCAAAGTCGCCTCCCATGGAAGAAATAAAGTAAAAATGAGCCAAACCTCCGATTTAAAATAACACTTCCTAGCCCGACCTTCTTCGCGAATACGGCCTTACCCTCGCGTTCGCAAAGAGAAACATGCTCCATCTCCAAAACTCCTCTTCGCGAATGCGAGACAGGGGTCGCGAATGCGGTGCTTTACTAGCCTGCCCATCGCGAACGCGTCCGTACTTTTGCGAATGCGAAGACCAAGTCCCCCACCATGCCAGCTTCTTCATCGTGAACGCATCAATGGAATCGTGCGAAGCCTTACCGCCCAAACTTTCGCGAACGCGAAGCACAAAATCCCAGCAGCCAGAATCTTTCTTCGTGAACGCGTGAATCCCTTCGCGTTCGCGAAGAACAAAACCAGACACCAGCATCAACAGTTGCAAAATAAGGAAAAATGATCCGAAACCACTCCGAATCACACCGAGGCCTCCGGGACCCCGTCTAATCACACAAGCAAGTCCCAATACCTTATCCAAACTTATCCAAAGGATCGAAACGTCACGAATAACATCAAAATTATGAATCGATGATCAAAATTCTTCTTTCTACTTTTAAACATTCAAATTTCGACGAACGCGTCTGAATCATATCTAAGCATTCCGGAATGACGCCAAACATTACATACAAGTCACAAATCATAATACGAACCTATCCCAGGGCTTGGAATCCCAAACAGACATCAATAACATTAAAGTCCACTTCAAATCAAACTTTGGAAATTCTAAAACTTTCAAAATGCCAACTTTCCACAATAAGCGCTGAAATGCTTCCGGACCACCCGATTCTCAACCCGAACATACGCCCAAATCTGAAATCATCATACTTCTGAGATCGTTTACTCCAAGGTCAAACCTTGAAAAACGCTTCCAACTTAAAGCTTCCGAATTGAGAATTTTCCTTCAGAAACGACTTCGAACTTCCCAAATTCAATTCCGACTATGCGTACAAGTCATAAAACATGAAGTGAAGCTATTCAAGGCCTCAAACCGTCGAACGATGAACTAGATCTCAAAACGACCGGTTGGGTCGTTACATTCTTCCTCACTTAAACATACGTTCGTCCTCGAACGTGCCAAAAACCATTCCGGAGTTGCCCAAAATTCCTGTTTAACACCTTGTGCATCTATATGTGCCACCACAACCCATGTGAGCACATTAGCTCGAGCCAAACTGAAGATACTTCATGCTACCTTAACCCACAATCCTTAAAACCAAGTTCCAACATCCGGAATTCTCTACGAGACCTGATTCTAACATACAAACACCGTATCAATCTCAACACTTTGTACCTAACATGATCATGTACCCATGCTGAAACCACACAATGCACCGCATAATTTGTATGCCCATAATAACATCCTCCAACCGTAAAAGTTGCAAATTCACTAACCTGATGCCCGTAGTATACTTTATAATGA